CTTGTGGCGTCCCAGTTGCCCGAGCATAACCGCTCCACGGCATGGCCACGTCGATCGGCTGCGACTGGCGTCGCCGCGGGGATCGGAACGGTGCAGGAACCGGCTGGAAGTCTCCACGCCGGCCACTCGTCTGGTGTTGAGAGGTACGACCACGCTCCCTCGTCCGCGACCTGTCGTCGTTGCCTCCAGGCGAACGCGATCGGTCTTGTTCTTCGTGATCACTTTCAGCCATTTCAGACTCGTAGTGCACTAAAGATATCTTTGTTGTGAGTACGTGTCTTGTTTGTCCGCAAGGCGTCTTCCTTCGGGAAGCAATGCAAGTTCAAACTGAGATACCTCTCATTACATTCCTAGTCAGTTCACTTCGTTCCCCTCAATACAGTAGCAACTTTCCAGGTCGTCCCGTACTAAATCGTCCCGTACGAATCCATCCAACATCCAGCAACCGACCTCAGCGAGGTTGAGCTGGACTCGGGGCACTCTCGACCAGAGCACGCCCCTCGAGATTGCGTTCGAAATGGGCAGTCGCCCCTCGAAGGCACCCGACTTTTTCGCCATCGCCAACCTCCCTGCAAACGCTGGGCCTGCCAACCAGCGTTTCCAGGGAGGTTGGCGATGGCGTGCGGAATCGATCGTACGAGACTGTTCTCGGCCATCGTACGGACGGATAGGTGTAAGCCAATTCTCGGAGGAGTGGTGCCTGAAACAACTCTCGGATTGGAGAAAGCTCAAGTGTAGTCGACAACAATGAAGTCGGGTGACACTGACGAAGCTGACAAAACTTAAAGCAAGATGGCGTCCTCATGAAGGACAAATACGACGAGAGTTCGCTCTCTGCGCCTGGCATTCCGTTGAGAACCTTAGCGTGCAAGTCAGTCTGTTTCGATCAGAGCTATCTTTCATAAATCCCCCACGAATTGCTCCCAACCGCGGCGTGGGAAGGATATCCGCATTGTCGCCGAAGAAATATTCCGTCGATGGCGACGGCCGTGTCTTCGTCAGAGTTCATGAGGGCCACCGTCGGACACGCAAAACAGCGGTACGTCTTCACTTTAACGGACTGTGCATCAAACGTAAACTGACACTGCATCGGCAATTCGACGACTTGGCCCACAAGTCTTTGGACAATCGGTTCGTTGCTGAGCAAGTGTGGCGTCTCCCGGGCGATCAGATACATCAAACAATTAACACAGTGATGGGGGCGCAGTGGACTCCCAGGCAAAGCTTGTGGTGTATATTGAGCACTCGGAAGCAAATGCAAGACTCACTGGGGCAGCCAGCTGGCTAATCCAGTCTATACTAAAACTCAATATAAATCCCCCTCGGCAAACGTCCAATCCGATCCTTGGGTTAGTCAGTTCCCATCGGATCTTTATGCAGAACATGGCCTTTCAGCCTAAGGATTCTTCATGTTCTCTCCGACACACAAAGCCGCCCGGAGCCGCCCACCGCAGTCAGGCCCGGCCACCAAGGTGGCATCGACCAGTCGTAACGAGTGGCAGCTAGGATCACGGGTAATACATCTTGGCGAACGCAACAGCAAGTGGGGGAACAGTGCCTCGATCGTGTGGCGGTACAAAAGAAGGTAGAAGATCGCGAGCCATCGACCACGACTTCGGAGTGGCACACTACGATACAGCTTTGAATCCACGACACCACGACAGACTGAAAGAATGACATACAACGTCCACTGGGCAATCAAACTGTCCAGGCCAACGTGGCTGTAGAACGCCATCGCGTCGCTCATGATGCCGTGGAGGAAGTCCACCTGGAGCGAGTGGCGGGAGCTATGGGCAAATACCCTGAAGTACTCGCTGACGACCTTGCATTCAGGGTCAAAAGTGTGCAAGCTTCGCGGCAAGGCTGCCTTGCACGACCTCACTCGCACTTCCAACCGCGCCACGTCCGTGGTCAGATTATCCACTTCCCCCTGTAGACGCTCCATCCGCTCGACCTTTCTTGTAACGACTCCGGTATTTTTTGCGGAGGAACACTGAATCCGGATAGAAAGCCGGATAACGTGGTGGAGAGGAGACTGGGAGGTTGGAGGCAAATTGCAGAATGAATTTGAGCACAGGATTTATCTCAACTCAAGAACATCCTTCCGATGGCTGACGCCATAGTCTAGAATCGTTGAATTCAAGCATGTGGCCTCCTTCATGCTGCTTCTCTTCCTTCGTACGTCACTTAATGCATACTCAACGCAAGAGCTATTATTTGCGGTAAATCTTCAACTCGTAGTTGTTCGGTAGGAGTTCAGATGAGTCGGGAAGACTCCACATCCTTACATCCTCCCCCGGGATTCTAGCCGACGAGTGGAACTGCGGCGTCGTAGGTCTTGGAGAAGTTGAGGGAAATGGAAGACATGCTTGATGTTCTTGGCGAGTTTCCACGTGGCTTCGCTTTCAGGCTGACCATGAGCTTGCGGTTGAACTGACGCTTCTTCAGCAGACTTTCAACAATGAAAAGTTCTTCATTCGTTTCGTCGTCGAGGATGATTGGCGTAGCATTGGGAATCGGACGGGCTGCAAACTTGGGATCATTGGAACGGTATGGCTTGAGGCGGTCAACGTTGAAGACATCGTGAATTC